ACCAAGAGACTCATGTAATGGTACAAGATCCCAATGATGAATGTAACTGTATTTTATACCTAAAATGTACCAATAAAGTTAATGGGGAAAAATTTATAAAAAAAGAAAAATATATATATAAATAAAACAGGGAAGGGTTGAGAGCTGAAGGAGAGAGCCCTAGAAAACACCCACATGGCAGGAGGTGTGAGGGTCAGGCCAGGGGCTCATCCTTCCCCCACAGGCCGAAGCTGAGAACTGAAGGGCACGGTCCGCAGCATGAGGAAAGAAGCCCCAGCTGAGGGACAGTAGGAAAAGGGGGCGCAAAAGGCAATCTGGAGCTAGAAAACGAGACACTGTGTACACCGGGATGAGAGCCCCAACATCACGGAAAAGCCAGTGAGTGGTGTTCATGGATTACAGCAATGTTGGGAGTCTCATCCAGTGGAGAGGAACAGGTGCCGATGAGATCCACACAGGAAACCCAGACAGGCAGGACAGGGTCGCACATGCACGTCTTGCCCTGAGGTGTCTGCTGTATCATGTGAATCTCAGCGAGCAGAAACCAGGCAGCTGGTTACTTCTGCACCAGGACGCTCCCGCCCGATGCACACACCTGACTTGCAGGATCCTTGAGGCGGAGCATGATGCTGCGGTATTTACTCCTGTAGCGATGATCTGTAACTCGGAACAAGTTAAACATCTCCTCCTCAAGGCGGATGGCAGTTTTTCCTACCTCATTTTCAGTCCTGATTAAATCACCACTTTCACAGACTCTAAACAGAATGGAAAAAGGGGCCAGATAAATCACTTATATTTGCAGTTTGTAAAGAGCAGGACAATCCTGAGATGACACTGTGACTGGAAGGCCTTCCCCTCCCACATTATGAGATATAGGAGAGCAGCCTACCTTTTCCACAGAATCTCCTTCAAGGAGTGTCTTATAATTTGCCGAAGTTGTGACTCTGGCTGTGACAGGGCAGGACCCACAGGCCTGAGGCACCCAGGGGCCGGAGAAGCTGTGGGGACCAAAGGTACCACAGGTTTCCTCGTGGCTCCCATCGACGCTGCAGAGCACGGTGACTTTTTGGAATTGCTTGCCAGAGGAACTGGCATTGGTCCTGCCGGTCTGGCAGCTGAGGGCCCTGCTGGGGCCTCCCCGAGCCAGGGGCCCTTGGGGATGGGGCCCCTGAAGCCTGAGGATGACTTCTGAACGGCCGGTTTGGCTGCTGCCTTGTTAACGAAAGGACGGGCCTTCTTTGTGGCGAGACTTCTGCACAAAGGCTGCCTGCCCCCTGAGGAGCCTGGAAGGGCTGTTTCCTTTGGGCCTGAGGCTGCTCCCACCACTCTGTCCTCCACTCTCCTGTGGTCCTTGGGGGCTGCACACAGAGCACAGTGAAGCTGAGTGAGATGAGGGGGACACGTGTGTGCTGCAAACTGATGTCACAGCACACTCACCGGAAACCTCAAAAGCACTTCCTGAGCATCACTGAGACGCACTCAGATAAGAGAATTCAAAACTCTTAAAATTGAGAAAAGAAGTGTAAGCCAGGGCTGCCTGCAGCATTTACGATAGTGACTACACTCTCTCCACACAGGAAAGGGTTGCATCATCTACTTCCTTTAAACTTTTTACCTCAACCAGCAAGCTAATTATCTAGGGTTGAATTTCTTCACTAAGTTACAATACTGAAGGAGAGATTTCAGAAACAGGTAGCTTTGGCATAGCACTTTCTTGAGGAACTCAAAGCTGATTTCTGGTCAATTGTAAATGTTAAAAATTGGTTCAGAGAGGGAAATGGTCAAGTCCTGCTCCCATCCACGCCAGTCCTGAGGGCCCTGCAGGCCGTGCCCCGTCAGCATGGGCGCACCTCTCTGCCCTGGACGAGTCTCTTGGGAGGTGACATTTTCACACCAAGAAGCAGATGCTGAGAGCACAGTGAGGCTGCTCTACAGATGCCTGCACACAACTCTAGAGCTGAAATTTTCTCAGCCTGAGGAGCTGACCATCTGGTGCTTTCAACCAACAAGAGTGGTCTTAAAAATCTCAACAGAAAACAGGTAAAACTCCCAGCTGGAACAAATTCCATCCATGTTGGGACAATCAGTTTCATCACAGTGTGGTATGGGAGCACCAGGCTGGCCAGCTGCAGTCCTGGTCATGCGGGTGGACAATGCTTGTCCTGCAGGCTGAATCTGGCAAGAGTCCAGGAGCAGAGACCAAGGGGGTGCCCAGGAACAGGGCGTCTACCGAGGTTCTATACTGAGTATTTTTGATATTGTGCTGTTAAACTCTGAAGCTCTGGCCTGAGACTATTCCAGAAAGTCTCAAGCAAACCCCTATACACATGTGCAATATGACCTGAAACAAATCTTGAGCAACAGTTAACATTTACTCCATTTCTGGTCACAAATATATGTAGGCTTGAAATCCATGATGTCCACCTCTGACATGGGAAGCTTTAGAATCACATGCTCAAATTGTCGTGAAGCCTCTACTGGTCTAACTATATTCCCTTCTCATTCAGACAAAATTCAAGTCAATAATATATTTCTAGGGCACATCCATACACGTGACAAAGGTCACCAATTACCCCAGAGGGCACATGTAGCTGCTCAGTGGGGTGTGGCTCCCTAAGCACCAGGCTCTGGGTTCACAAACCACTAGTTTCTGCTCTTTTGAACACAACCTTAGTGACCTCTTGCTTGGGCTTCAAATAGCAACAGGCATAATTAGGCAAATACACAAATTATTTGCAAAAAGAGTAAAACCTGGGGGTGTCAAGAGACAGCTGCCCCCACCTCATCTGCTCTATGAGACACAACCAACCCTCTTCTATTTGAAGGGAGGTATTTAAAACACATCAAGAATTATTCTTCTACATAGCAACCACGAAGGTCTTCACACGCCTCTGCCCCCATTTGAGTGAGAGCTGCAGTGCTGGTGTGAGGCCTCAATGACAGTGAAAAACACCTTTCCAGTTCTGAGTGGAGCTTCAAATGAATTTGCACAGTGCTCCTCCAAATTGGTGTTTCCCTCGTTGCTCTGTGTTGTGGGGGACCGAACCCAGGGGGGACTTGTGCATGCTAGGGAAGGTCTCTCCCACTGAGCCTTAACCCTTGGCCCCACACCACAGTTTCACTATTAACTGTATATTCAGGCCTAAACTTAAAGAAACACAGGGAAAATCTGTAACCACCAAAAATGGTTCAAGAAAACCAGTCTGAGCCTCAGGGCCTGCTGCCAAGCTATCTGCTGGGTGGCTGGGCCTTGCTCTGTCCAGGTGGCACTGTGTACCAGCCTGCACTGTGCACAGAAGGGCACTGTCTGGTTCCCACAACCATGAGCCGTGAACTTGCAGAGGAGCCATGGTGCCAGCACAGCCTCCTTCCACTCCCATTGCCTTGGTGATTGTGGGAAGGAAAAGCACTGCCCTGAAACTTAGCTACAAAAGAAGCCTCACAAGTAGCCTGGGCCGTGGCCCCAGAGGAAACTCATGCTGCCAGGTCTGGCCATCTGCCAGGATATCCCATCATCTGGAGTAGAGCCCAACACAGCAGGCTGCTGAGCACAGAATCAGCATCTCGCATAATCAGGGGCCTCCTCACAATGGAAGGTTGAGGGTGTGGGCTACTATGCCATTACTTGTCATTAGGTGGTATCCACAGGGACAAAGGGTGCAGAAAATCTGCGCTCCCCTGGCAGTCAGGCAGAACCCATGCAATCACTGCGATGTTAACTGGAGGACGCAAATGGGGATGGGACCCAGTGACAGTCCTGTCTGCCCCCCGCCACATGCCCAGCGACTTCCCTCCTCCAGGACACCTCATACACAGTCAAACTGGTGAAAAGCAGTGTAGCCAAGCTCTTCCTTCACAATGGCAAGAGAAATTTGCCTGACCTTGAAACAAACGAAGTAGCAAACATTCTTATCAATCTTTTATGTTTGCTTCTCTAACTTTTGGAAGCTAAAACTCTAACTACCTGTGTGTAGGTAACAAACAAAACAAAAACAAGTCCTCGGTATCTTACAACTTTATACAAATATATCTGAAGCTTGGTTATGACACTGAGGAATTACAGCAGGCATCTCCAGAGGGGACCTCTACACTGGGTGACACTGGCAATAGCATCCAGTTTTCCTGGAGGACTGATCTTCAGGGAATAACAGAGCAGACCCACAGCTCCAAAAGTGTACAGGAAGGTCAGTGAGAGCACTCTCTCACCTGCTCCCAGGATACAGGCGATGCTGCAGGACAGACTGAGCACACTGCGGAAGGGCTCACCAGGCCCGTTCAAGTTCACAGATATGTGACCTAGTTTCCTGAATAGCAAGCTATTTTCTTTAAATTTATGGCAATGCTCAAAAATAATGAAACAATGATACTGTAGACACCCAAGCAAAATCCAGCAACACAAATAACATAGAAACACCTGCCAACCTGATCCCTTCAGTACAAATTTTCTTTCCCTCTAATTGGAAATCATTTTGGATATAAAAATTTAGTTTCTTCTCACCCTGACTTTATTCGCTTAGGTAACTCCTGAAGAGACAGAAAAATGGCTCTACTAGTTGGTAAAACATGATCTCCAGTCTTGATTCAGATTTCTAGGTTATAGTATTCACATTCCCAGGTTACGGTTTCTAGGTTATAGTATTTCTAGGTTATAGTATTCACATTCCCAGGTTACGGTTTCCCTGTGAAAGTACTGTACTATAGGGAGTTTGCTCCTTGTAAGATTCCAATGACCTGGGCTCCGGGTCCACACCCGGGCTCCCTGTGGATACCTGTGCTCTCTGCACTCCAGTTCCCCACACCGCTGGGACCCTCTGTGTGGCCCATGAGTATCGGGAGCAAATGCTGCCCCCTGAGCAAGAGCCACAGCAAACTGCCAGGACCTGGCCCTGCACGTCTGTACCATTTTCCCTTTTTACCACCACAGCGGCACCGAATTCCTTCCCATTTTTATTTTTTTATTATTGGTACCAGGGATTGAACTCGGGTCCTTGCGCTTGCGCAGCAAGTGGTGAAACCACTAAGTTAAATCCCCAGCCCATGCCTTCCCAGTTTTAATGTATCACAACCCTACTTGGGGGTCACAGCACCACAGATTGAGTCTGTAATGGAATTTTACTGAAAAATTCTAATAAACTAGGAATCTTTTCCAAAAAACATGTTTGGCCTGCTTCATGCCTTCCCAGTTGAGGGAAGGGAACTAACAGTAGATATAAAAAACTTGGAGGAATCAGGATGTAAGAGCCAAAAAATGGGTATTGTGAGTTTCAGGAGAAATCAAATGCTGAGTGCTTCCATGAGTATAAACTTGTACAGAAACCCTAGTGACAGGGTTACAGAAGGCACTCAAGGCACCACTGTGCATGAGTCACACACCTGTGAGCTTCCCATGCAGCGAGGTCCACGCACTCAACTGCATCCACGTGGCCCCAGGGACTTGGGTGCAGGACACAGATGAGGCCCAACCGTGAGCAGCTGTGTCAGCTGCTCTGCCGTGTGGCTATTCCCACGCGGACATGTGGAGCTGAAGTTGGATCAACTCCCAAGTGCACTGGATGCAGTCAGCTTCCTCTAACCCTCACTGCCCCGCCCTGCCCAGTGACAAGAGCCTGCAGGCAGCTGGGAGGCAGGGATAGGGCTGTGGGTGCTGCCTGTGCCACCCTGCCCATCGGGGTCCTGGGGAACATGCCCTGCTACCCCAAAAGTGAGGAACTGTGTGGGGGGAGCAGAGAGGCAGAGACACGGTACTTCTGCCCCTTGGATTGCTTTACCAATCTCCCTACCATCCCCTCAATCATTATTTGGGAAGATGACATTTCTGGGACAACAGAAAAGCTGCAGAAGCCAACAGCTCCAAGTATGTCCTTTACACACGCTGTCCTCTGGATGCCTGTCAATTTTAATTTAGAAATGTGAGTGTGCTGAGAAAACTGTTCATGTGTTCATTTGTCCCAGCCTCCTGGAGTGGAGCCCATGAGCACCAATGAGGAACCACTGTGCAGAAGAGGGAAAAACCTCCCACCTGTGTGCAGAGCAATAGGCTTTCTCTATGCTGCTGTGATCTCCTTTTATCCCATGGTTCCCCTTGAACTGACACGGTGATTGTAGAATCCATCAGTCCTACCTTCCTCACCAACCTTCTCCCTCTCCCACACGCAGGGTCTCCTAAAGGACCCCTGAAGTTTCAGCTATGGTTTTGCACACTCAGGCACAGATGGGGGTGAACCCACCTGAAGCCCATCACTCGGTATTTTGGCTGTGGTTAAACCCCTGGTGCTCCTTGTAGTGCTACGTGCTGATCACGACCTCGCAAACTTTTGGCCCTGGGTTAGCAAGTGGCTGCCCTGTACGCACTCCCACACAGCAGCACTCATTCCTCAGTATTCATCCCCACACAGAAGTGCTATCAGAGAGCTTCTCCATCCCGATGAACCTTTGTGACACGACATCTGTTAGCATGAGATTCACTGGGTAACCCACCTAAGGTGTATTAATGTCCATCAAAGTTGGTTCGTTCAATTTACAGTCCTTGTGACTCCATTTCCAGTCCTGAGCTTTTGGGGATTTTAAATTCTTAACCATGTGACATCTGGCACCTACCTGCATCAGTCCCTGCCCCCAGGTGACGTGCAACAGGCTGAGAAAAAGACAAATATAATATGGTGTGTGGTCCTAGAATTCAAGACTACTCAACCTGCTGGCACTTTTAAAAGGGGACAAAATATACTACAGCAGTGATGGCAAACACTTTAGAGCTTTCAGTGATACAAACAGCTCACTTAGGTTTGCCACCACGGCACTAGAGAGAGGGAGAAAGCATTAATAAAACCTGATCCAAAAACAGATTCACAAGAGAATAAGACGTGCCCTGTGCATCCTAATCCAAATATCTAGGATTTGACTTTGGACCCTGAGAAACAAGGACAGATCCAAGGTGTATCATCTCAGCTGGGGATTCACATGCCAACCTGCAGTGTCCTCATTTCACTCACTGGAAACCTGGGCAGGGTCACAGGCTCAACACTGCAGAGGAGCTGGGAGCCCAGCAGCCCTGACACCAGCCCACGCCTCCCGCCTCGGCGAGGACATTGCTCTTGTCAAGGGTGCTGCATCACTCACTCTGGTGCCTGGGGGCAGCAGCAAGGGTCCTTCAAGATTTTCCTGTCCACGTAAGTGGTGCGTAGTGTGTGAATCTGCTGTCAGGTCACAAACTCTGTGCACTTCTAAAAGTTGTACTGAGGCTTTCTGAGGCAAGACTGATTTGCACAGAGATGCCTGCAGCATGGCACAGGAGTGATGATTATTTATGCAAAGAAGTAACGTGGAAAAGCTCAGGTTCTATGCAGGGCCGTGATAAAGTGATGTTTGAACAGTGCTGAATCTGGGTCTGGGTATGGCACTGGAGAACCCAAGTTTGCTGGCCAGAGCCCAGCCCTGCATGCAGGGGACACTAAAGAACTGCACCACCAGGAGCCGTTAGCAGCGAGTCTTGTGCAGCTCTTTGGAAAACACTGGGAGGAAGGGCCACAGGGTAGGGACGGACAGCCAGGCTCGGGAGGACCCCAGGCACAGGCATCTGCTCTGGGCTGATGGTGATCAGTGCCCACTGCACTAAAACAGCCTCAACTGCCCATCCCGGTGCCCAGTGGCTATCCAGAGAGTGTGGGTGGCGCCAGAGGCTCACATCAGGTGGCACCTACATTGGCCCCAGCATGGTGTGGAGGGTGCAGCAGGTTTCTCTGGCGTCACTGCGCTGCACTTGTGGTCTCCAGCCCGGGAGGGTGTGCTGCTCTCACTGGCCGCCGCCTTCCCCATGGAGTCGCTCCCAAGAGGAGTCACTGTAACCTTCTTCGCTGGGGGTTCAGCTTCCTCTGGAGCTGGCCTCTCGTGCACAGAGGACATTTTCATCCCCGCCTGGAGAGTCAGTGAGAGCCCAATGATTAAGGTCAGAAATGTCACCTCTGCTCCTCACACACAGCAGTTAGTCACGACTCTCCTCAGGTCACCTTGAGACCCCTCCCCATCCTGGGCTGGTACACAGCTGCTCGTGTGGCTAAGTCTGCACACTCAGGGGACCCTCACATCCTCTCTCACGGGAGGACCTCAGGTCTCTGGGTCTCACAAAGGTCCCGAGATGGAACTGGGTGTGACCTGCAGCAACACAAGTCTGCAGATAGCAGAACAATGAGCCACACAAGTGAGGCAGAGAATCAAGGCACAGTGCAAGGACCGAGTGCAGGTGTCAGGAAGTGCTTGGCCCCAAATGGGAAGGTGTGGGACTTGCAAGGAGGAGACAAATGCCATTTCTGCTTCTGAACAGAAACTCTGGAGGTTTGGACGCTGAGGAAAGGTCTTTGAACTCTCAGCTCTCCTGTCCCCTTACTGTGTGTACCAGCCCTGCTCTCCGGCAGCTGTGGGAATCAAAATGAGCAGCCTTGAAATCCAGGTGTCTGAAGGGAAGCAAGCAACAGACAATGAACGAGAGATTGTGGGAGCAGTGGGAGGTACGATCTGCACGGTCCACACACGCCAGGCCACTGATGGGCATTTCCAGATGAGCCTCAGGATAAGGCATGACTAACCCAAGAGCTTCTCATTGCTAAACATCCCTGATTCTTCCAAATCAGACAGCTGAAAAATGACACAATTTTGAGAGCTATCTTAGAGCAGAGCCCTGACTAGAACCTACCCTTCCTGGACGCCTGGGATTTGAATTCACACACAAAAATCAAGGGTGGCTATGACCACCTAGGTGGCCCTGTGAGTCCTGGTGTCTTGGTTCCTGCAGGGTGGCCAGTTTCCTGCACTGCTTCATAGCACAGCTTTCAGGCTGAGGCCTCAGCCAAGGGCAGGAGACAGAAGTAAAGGAGATACAAGCTGCATGGCATGGACGCCTGCTGTGCCCGTGTTACACTCCCTCAGTAAACAAGCTCAGGGACATGGGACACACACTGTCACGCACGCTTTTGTGGCGAAGGTACCCAGGGTCCCCTGGGTCAGCTCACCTGAACACTAGGTTTTGGGAGACAGAGCTTTTCTGGCTTCATCCTGACCTTCTTCTTCTTCTTCTTCGGCTTTGGTTTGTGTTTTTTATGTACACTGAGCAATCTCATAGCAGTTGCTGCGTGCCTGAGAAGGCAGTCGTTGCAGCAGTAGACTGTGTCAGGCTGTGCCATATTGGAGCACCCGGGGCACGCACAGGGCACGGTGCCAGGAGCCACTGTGACCTGCATAAGCCAACAGGAGATATCACACAATGGATGTGCCAATGCCAGCAGGAAATGCACCTTGTCACGGTGCTGTGGACAGTACCACGGTCGCTGTCTTTGAGAGACTCTAATGGTATTTTAGATGTGAATGTTCTTGCAAACTGCACAAATCCCTGTTGCTGTGGGAGTCTCCGCCATGTAACCACCCCTGACAGCTCGTGCCAAGCAGGACACTAAGGTGGCCCCTGGTGCACACGCTCTCCCATTCCCTCCCCTTCAGCTCAAGCACCGCTGAGGACACCCAGGGGCCCACAGCTGGGTCCCTGGGACCACATAGGCAGGTTCTGGTGAGATAACATGGAGTCAAAAATGTTCAGACCGAATCAGGAGAAAGTTCTTAAGGGGGGACTGAACCTTTCCCGACAGGAGACTCTGAGCTGGCCTGGTAACAGGCGCGGCCACCACAGTTAGGATAGGCTCCTATATCTGATTGAATTTGCTTCACTCTCTGCAGTGCTCAGATGTGGGTGCAGGGCCTTCGCACTGAGCCCCAGCCCCAGCCTCTCCTCTTTTCTGTTTTGAGACAGGATTTCACTGAGTCGGTTTGCTGCCCAGTCTCTGTGTAAGTTCACACTCTTGTGGGGACCGTGAGAGGCTCAGGCAGATTGGAGTGAAGGCTGCTTTCCTTGTAGGCCACCTCGTGCCACGCACAGTGCCCAACCCAGCAAACGCCGGCCTTACGCAAAGGGGGCGCAACTCGGGGTCTGGTGTTTCTGTGCACAGCCAGCAAGGCCACCCTGCATGCTAACTGGGCAGACAAATACTCACAGGCGGGGACATCTCCATGGCCTCCTCGCCCCTGGGGCTCGAGGTTTCCTCACTTTCACTCCTGCTCCGCTGGTCGGCCCGGGACTTCCGCCGGCAGGCCCGTCTGCTCTTGCCCTGTGTGACGCCAGCACCTCCGGATCTGCATCCAGGCCCCTGCGCATCAGGGGCTTCTGACGTCCTCTCCTGCGCTTGCAGGGCGGTGCCGTTCAGGTCGACGTGATCAGCCCCGTTCCTCTCCAAGAGACAGCCCGGAGGCTCAGAAATGCCCACGCAGTGAACACGGAAGCACTCCTCACCGTGGTCGGGGCAGATCACCAACCTGAGAGGACAAAGTGACGGAGTCCGAATGGGGAGCGGCGACCGCCACTTCCAACACGCTCGCTCGGAGGCCCCGCTGCCTTTAGCACTCTGTTCCCAGGCAGAGTGCAGCGCACGGCACTGACAGACCCACACGCTCCTCTGCCCGCGCATTCACACCCAGCCGCAAGCGCGCCGTCATGTTCTCCAGCACAGAACTAACAGTGATCAGGGGCTTCCATGTGCGTCTGCACGCGGCAGCACCGCAGCCACATCCCCGGCCCGGCCCCCAGTCCTAGCAGGGCCAAGGGCGGTCGGGTCTGCACACCGGAGGCTCTGGGCCCACAGCGCCCATCCTAGGGACCTGGGACGGCAGACGCGCTCCCGCCGCCCACGCCACAGCCCCGCGTGCCCTGAGGTCTTAGGCCCGACGCGCACCGTCAGCAGGCGTGCGGCTGGCGGCAGCGGCGTGGACAGCGTGGTGGCAGCAGCCACCTGCACTCCGGCCTCTTCCCTTCACGCAGGGACCGGGCAGCTTTTCCCAATCAACCGCTTCCCAGTCCAGCCGGCAGGGGAGGCGGGTAGCGTCCCAACAAAGGGAAAATCCTCTTGCCGCCCCCGCCGTTGGCCCGTTAGCCCTTTAGCCCGTTAGCCAGCTTGGGCTCTTTGTGACCGTGAGCAGAACCAACCCCCCCACCCCGCCCCGCCCTTGACCTTGACCCACCTGTTGCTGTGAGGCTGGCGGCAGAGGGCGCTGGGGGCGGAAACCTCACACTCAGGCCCAGGTTTGCCCGGGTCCCCGGGGTCTTTGTCTCCAGGTCCCTGAACCGCTACTGCCTCCAACTCCCACTCTCGGTCAGACCCCCGAGCAGCCTCAGGGTCCTGCCTGCAGGGTGGCCCCTTGCGGCCGGCACTGCCTGCCTGGACCTCCACGCCTTTGCTGGGCTCCTCCTCCGGACGCGGCTTCCGCGGGCCACTGCAGACACCCTTCGGGGCCCTTTCTGCTGATTCTTGCTCTGGCTTCCTCGGGAGGCGATTCTGAAGTCCCTCCCCAGTGAAGCCGTCGATGTCACTGTCGGCGCTGTCACCCTGCTCATCCCGACCTCTAGGCTTCACGCACTCGGAGCCAGGCGCTGGTCCACACTTCGTCTCAGAGCTGCTCTCGCTGCGCCCTTCCAGGGCGCTGTGCACAGGAGACCCTGGGCGGGACGCTGGCTCTCCGGAACCCTCCAGGGACACAGCCAGGGAGTCCCCTCCTCGACACAAGCCTGTGCTCTGGGGCTCTCCGACCTGCTGGGGGCGCTTCGGCCGCCTCCCGCGATGTTGCAGGGAGGGGCTGAGTGGCTGCTGCCGGGCAGGGTCCGCCTCGGTGTTCCCGGCACCCTCCTGCTGTGTGATCATGGTCCTCCGGATGCCCCCGGTCCTCCAGAACTCTTCCCTCATGGGACTGAGGGCCTCAGGCGCATCCGCATTGCTCTCGTCCCCGGGGTCCTCCATCTCTGTGTAAAAGGCAATCACACCGTGACCACAGACCCCTGAGTGCCTCCTCATGCCCAGGAGCCGGCACCCGCTGGAGGGAAATATGAAGGGCACTGAAATAAAACAGGCTCCTTCTCACAAAGGTGCAGCTGTCCATAAACCGCGGGCTTCTGACCTCCTCTCCTAAGCTGCGGTTGAGACGACTCTAGGGGACTCCTGAACTTCAGTGTAGAGCAAATGCTCGGCAGAAAACTCTCCGGCCTCCAACGCCATGTACAGTGTCCCGGCTTACACGCTTAGGACCTGCCTGGCCTACCCAAGGGAAGAAGTAAGGAAGGAAGCAGCAGGCCAAGCAGGGTGAGGACAGGACCGCCGCCCTGAGGCTGGCTGACGCCCGGTGTCGCCTAGAAGCCCGCCCTCCGATGGCACTTGACGTGGAGCAGGCCGCCCAGTGCTGTGCCACCTCTTTGCCTGCTGTGAGAGGACTGGCCAGGGCCCCGGGGCTGTGGAGCGGAGCTCGGACACACGCCCTCAGGGCCCCCACAACAGACACTGGTGGCCGAATGTAGACACCACCTCAGGCTGTCAAGGGAGGGGACAGCCACTGCTGACCATGCGCTGTGACATGGAAACGGGCCTTGTTTCAGTCCACTGCACTCGGATGAGGCCACAGCTTCAGCCTCTACTCCTGGTCTCTGTTTCACTTCCTTCCTACAACACTAAAGGGTGCATGCCAAACTTTAATTCTTAGTTAAAATGACAAAACTGGAAGAAAATGGTACATACCTGGATGATTCTTTCACATGCTACCCAGGTATTAGTCACACATTGATGCTAATTATGTTTCCGATTTTACTCCATGCCCCATCCTAGGGGAAGGACTGTAGAAAATGAAACCCTAAAAAGGCAAAATATGTAAAACTAAAAGTTAATAGCATCCATTTTTTTCTCCTGAGTGCATTCTGTCCTTCAGTAAGAGATGGCACAGGAGAGCGACCTCTAAGCTGTGTAACCTCGACCCACACTGGGGTCAGTCAGGAGCTGTGGGAATCAGGAGCCCACCACCGGGTCACTTCAGGGGACCCCACCACTGGAAGGACACAGCCCAGCTAAGGAAGCAGAGTGCGGGCTCGGGGGCTGAGGACCTGTGTGCAGCCTTCGGAGGGGTGCACAGCGGGCTCCTTCAGTGGCACTGAGCTGCTGTCCCCCAGGAGGGCTTGTTCACGTCCACTCTGGGAAAAGCCGAGACTGGGGACTTATACAGAGCACAGCCCACAGAACGGCAGCCACAGTTACTAGCTCATCCTCACCAGAAAGTCTTGTGAGGAGAACTTCCTCCACTCATGGAAACCAATGAATTTGTACCACACTTTTACCTTTTTAAAAATTGGTGGTAGGAATCGCACCCGGGGCCCGGAGCACACTAACCACACGTTCTACCCAAATCACATCCCACCCCAGAGGAGGCAAATCTGATACCAGCTGGAAGAGGCTGAAGTCCTGTTCTGCACAGAGCACTGAACTTCTTCTCAAGTGCAGTTAGAGGGGCCAGCACCAGACCTCACTAAGATGGCCCCAGGCAGGCACAGTGCCCACACCCCCAGGACACCAGGAAGCTCACTGAGTACCAGCCGCCAGCCAAAGGGCTTTCGGCAGAAGAATCCTCTTCTACAACACGCCCTCACCAGCGAGAGAACACACAATGTACAGTGTGAACACTGATAACACAGCCAGCGGGGGAACCAGGGAATGGAATTGGGAAGAGACGATTAGACATTCAAGTAATCGCCTTGGGGTAATGTTTATGACATTGCAAATGACCAGGAAGGCTACTTGGGTCTGTTTCTTTACAAAGAATGTGACTCTGGAGGTAGGAAATACAAATACATCACGTTGGCTCATTGCTGCTGTTTCATAGGACTGCACTTTACCTGCCCAGCACTGAGTGTGGAGACCAGGTCCTGGAACCCCGAACACAACACGAACCGAATGAAGAAGCCGCTTGGTGCCCGCAGTGGTGAGGCCTCAGCTCTCCACAGTCAGTCACCATTCACAAGCAAGAGGACAGAGGTTCTCCTGTGGAGAGCTCCTGAAAGGAGAGAAGGACCTGCTACTGATCTTAGGCAACACCAACAGTGACAAATAAAAGGAGGCACCAAGCTTTCCAAGTTCTCCATTATTCCAGTGATGGACACACATCCAGGAGGTCTGGGAATGGCCCACAGGGTCTTTCCAGGACTCTGGCCAATGGCAGACACACCTGGTGCACTTGAGAGGGGACCTGGTCAGCCCAGGGCCAGCGGCAGGCTCGTTAGCCCGGCGGTCTAGGTGGTGGCTCCCACAGGCTAGCCTGAAGGATCAGTATTGGGCAGCAGCTCCTTCCCAGCAATGAGCCTGCTTGTGAGGGGACCCAGCTCAGTGAAGCCCAACATGGGCGTCGGACACAAGGTCACAATTAGAAAGCACAGGTGACAAAGTGATGTTCAGAGTGACTTACAAAGTCTTGATACCATGGCTATTTCATCACTCAGTGAAGATCTGATGAGTTCAGAAAGCCCGTGTTCATGATAACTGACCTGTGGGGTGCTGGTCACCTCTGTGTATGGAGGGACACTGGTCCTCCCAGGTCCCCTACAACAGCTCCAGTCTGAACACTCACTCAACACCCCTCTTTCCAGCCACTTCCAGAATATTTCTTTTCACCACTGGCCCCACAGCCCGAGCTCCTGAGCAGAGCCACCTCTCACCTCTGCCCCTGCCTGGCTCCAACTGAACCTCCTCTCCTGTGGGTTCCCTAGTGACCCAGGACAACGGGCAAACATTCCATTTCCCATTAAAGGGACAGGGACCACTCTGACCTCAGTGTCCACATGAAGCCGCCACAGTCACCTCAGGACCTCCCTCTGGGCGTGCTCAAAATCCCTTGCTCCTGATCCCTACTTCAAGGGTTCACCAGCCAGCCTACAATGAGAAGAAAATGAAAAGAGAATGCACCAGAACCTGTGGGGTACAGTGAAGGCAAATCAAAGTTAGAAATGTATAGCTAGGAGTTCCTACATCAAAAAATCAGAAGCCAGGCATGGTGGGGCATGTCTGTAATCCCAGCACGCAGGAGACTGTGGCAGGAGGATCGCCATGCGTTCAAGGCCAGCCTGAACTACATTAGTGAGACTCTGTCTCAAAATACTAACAAAAGAAGAAAAATCAGCGATCTCAAGTAAGTCACCTAACGATGTATCTCAAGGCCTGAGAAAAACAGGAACGACTTAAAACCAAAACCAATACAAAGAAAGAAATAATAAATATCAGAACTAAAATTAATAAAATAGAGACTACCAGAACACCACAAAGAATCGATAAAACAAAAAGTTGCCTCCTATCCACAAAATCCTGAATAAGAGAGAAAATTCCTAAATCAGTACAATTAGAAAGGAAAAAGGAGGTGAGAAAACATACACCAGAGAAAGCCAGATGATCATTAGCGCCTAATTTCAAAACGCATATTCTAATAAAGTGGAACACCCAGAAAAAAGGAACTTCTAGACATGTACGAGGTACCAAAACTAAACAAAAAGGACACAAAAAAACCTAAGTAGATCAAAAACAATCACTGAGACAGTAATAAAAAGTCTTCCACAAACTAAAACCCCAAGTACACAGGAATTTATGGATAATAGTGATTGAACTAGTAAAGAAGAACTAACAACAGTGAAAGCTTTTCACATGATTCTATGAAATGGGAAGGGAGGGAAACTTCCGAATCAATTCTATCACTGATACCAAGAATGGACAAGGACATAAGAAAAAAGAAAACTATTCACTACTTTCTTTATGAACATAGCTGTAAAAATCCTTAATAAAATACTTGCAAACTGAGTTCAACAACATTATTATTATTATTATTTTTTTGGAACTGGGGATCAAACTTGGAACCTTGCACTTGGGAGGCAGGCAGTGGCACCACTGAGCTAAATCCCCGGCCCCTCAACAATGTATCATACACTATGGTCAAGTTGTTTTCATCCCATGGATGCAAGAATGGTTCAATTTACACCAATCAATAAATTTTACATACCACATAATAGAATCAAGGATAAAAATCACATGATTATCTGCATTCACCTAGTAAAAATCTACAAATTTTAAATAGCCTCATGATAAAAGTCCCAAAGAAACTAGGTATTGAAGGATCATACCACATAAAGACTAAAAAGACTATATACAGTGGACCCTCAAGTTACGACTAACCTGACATACAAACAACTTGGGTTAATTAGGTTAATGGAAGATTCATCTGCCTCTTGTTATCTATAGTGTGTACCCAGGTAAACATTCAGATCTCAGTTGTATTCACTTGCAACTAACTTGAGTTACAACCAGCCCTTGGGAACTGATCGAGTTTATAAGTCAAGGGTCCACTGTACATAAAAGCCATGGGCAACATCACACCTGATGGAGAAACACAATGGGGCCAAAAATATTTGTTGAAGAAAAAAATACCTTCTTTAAGAAAAGGTGTTGGGAAAACAGAACATCCATATGTAAAAAATTAAAACTAGATCCCTGTCTCTTGCCTTGTACAAAAACAAATCGACAATAAACCAAACATCTAGGTATAAGACCCAGAACTTTGAAAGTACTAGAAGAAGCACAGACACAGGGAAAGACTTCCTAAATACAACTCCACCAGCTCAGGACAGCATCAAATTAAAAGTTTCTGCACAAGAAAGGAAAAGAGAATGAAGACATAGCCTACAGATTGCAAGAAAGGTTTTGCCAGCTACTCTTTCAACAGAGAATTAATATTCACAATATACAAAGAACTTTAAAAAATCTTAACACCACAAACCCTTTTTGGTCCAATCAACAAATAGGCAAATAAATGGAAGAGATACTTCTCAAAAAAATTACAAATGGCCAATATATATATGTTTAACACCTTTAGACAGTAGGGAAAATGCAAATTTACACTGAGATTCAATCTCACCCTACTTAGGATGGCTATCATCAATAATATATAAAATAATGAATGCTTACACTCCTGAGGGAATGTGAGTTAGTGCAGCCACTATGGAAAACAGTGTAAAACTTCCTCAAAAAACTAAAAACGCAACTACCATATGGGCCAGCTCTCCCAGTCCCTGGTGTAGACCCACAGGAATTAAATCAGCCACTCTACTGTATACCTGCATAGGGATTATATGGGGCAGTGGTGGGGAATCTATGGCACGCATGCCACAGCAGGCTGTTTGTATCATAGAAAACTCTAACAGGTTTGCCATCCCTGATATAGGGATTCTTGCATATTGACTTTTACCATAACCATATATATATATAGTATAGTTATTGTGACATAATTCACAATAGCCACAAATTAGACGAAGACTAGGTGTCCACGGAAAGATGAAAGGATAATGTGTGTTGTAAATACACAATGTAGTATTATTTGGAAATAAATAAGAAAAAATATTACATAATTTTAGGAAAAGTGGTGGAATTGTAGATCAACATGTCAAGTGATATAAACTAGCCTCAGAAAGAAAATTATTCCATCGTTTTACCTAATGTGTGCAATCACAAATAAATGGCAGAAAAGAAGGGAGAGAATTACACAAGATGAAGGGAACCAGGGGAGGGAAAGGGGGAAACAGAAGGGTAATAGGGAGGATAGAAATGATCAAAATAGGTTATGTACATGTATGGAAATAGTATATTGAAATGCTGTGTTATATAAAAATTAATAGGCATCAACAAAACTACTATAAAAAGGAAATATCAGTGTGAATCAAAAACATTAAGTCAACAGAAGGTGAAGCTATAGGAGAAATCTGTGTGTATACTAGTTCACTGTGTAGTTTAGGTATTTTTAGCTCTCAACTGGTTTGGATAGTGTTGTTAGGTTAGGTTGTGATCACTATGATAAAATACATGAGCAAATGAATGTGAAGGACAAAAGATGTACTGAGGCTCACAGATTCAGAGGTTTCAGTCCATGTTTCAGTTCAGGTTTCAGTCTTTGTTGTTCCTGGGTGGTGGTGAGGCTGAGCTTCATGGTGGAAACGATGTGCCACAGGGAAGTGGTTTATCTCATGGCAGACAGGAAACATAAAAGGAGAGAAAGAGACAGAGGGTGAGGAAGGGACTAGGGAAGAGATAATACCTATCTTCATCGCCTGGGGACTAGATGTTATCCCCAAGGTCATGCCCCATGATGCACACCCTTCACCTAGGATCCACCTCCTGTTCACATCACCTCCCAACACTGCCAATAACAACATTTACAAATGAAAATTTTAAAATCACTAATGGTAAAGCTGGATATCAATAAAATCTTTTGAGTAGGAGGATTGTGAAGATGACAAGAACACAGACCCTAATGTGCACAGACCCTCCCAGGGCTTGTTACAAAACAGATTCTAAGTGTGAGTGGGACCCCCTTGTGACCCAGTCACCTTCCAAATGTCCCCCCTCAGAACGCAAGAGCCTTTTAAGGGATAATTTTAAATCCAAACCATCAATACGCAGAGCAGCAGAACATCCTACTAGCTGCTGGAACCTAAGATTTTATAAGAAAATCAGTCGCAACAGGTTGGTGTGCTGACTGGGAAAATGTGAACCCCTGAATCGCCTCTTCTGTCACCATGCACTCTTCCCAAGCACACTGGCAGAATGTCCGACTCCATGTCCTGCAGGCAAGAAAGCCAGCAAGGGTCTGGATCATTTCGACACTGGCTACAAGCAAGCCTGCTTTCTAGGGTGCCAGGGAGGAAGGAATCAGCTTTCAGGAATTCCCACTTGCAACAGTGAGGCAATTTGTTCTGAGAAACAAAAGAAGTGTGGTTAATCAGGCAGGCTGTGCTTGTGAGAGAGTAGAGTCCATACTCACTTAGAGGAGACAAATCAATGTAAGTTCACCGGAACACAGAAACAGTGAATGTAGTTACACAGCTTTAATTTTATGTTGGTCTCTCCTTTTAAGCTTGCACTGATTTAGAAAAACTCTATAATCTCTGTGAAGGCTCACTGAGGGGTGCTGTGTCCCCAAAGGAAGAATCGGTCCAAATGAACTGAAACCAAAGTCAATGTGTCTGGAAAGCACGGGGGTGAAGCCAGGGAGCAAGAAATCCTGCAGATGGTCGGGACCGGAGCCTGATGCATCCCCAGCCACGAACAGACAGATCAGCAGCAGACCTGTCCGAACCGCATCAGTGTGGGAGAAGGAAACAAACTCTCACACCAGCCCCTTGGCTCCTGAGCATTACCTTTATTATTAATGACAAGATAACCACTGTCATACAAGTGTCATATGATCGCAACAACCAGATCGATTCAGTGCACAGATTCAACAGTGGGGCATGGCTTGTCAAGTAGGGAACCTTAAAATTACACACATGTACATTAAAATAATGTGTCACTCCTATAAAACATCAGGCCAGGAAATGAAAACGTCAGTCATAAAGGCATGGATGTAAGGTCCTAGGGACATAGCCACAGAAGTCATATGAAATAAAACAGGAGAGAGAATAAACAATGCATCTGTGTGCTACTGGACAATGGGGTCCCACTACTTTGCCCAGGCTGGTCTCCAACTGGTGGGTTCAAATGATCATCCTGACTCAGCCTACCAAATTCAGGTGTATAACACCATAAGCAGCTTGTAGGACCACTGCTCAGAGTGTGGTTGGGAGATCTGGGGTCAAAGAGCGTCAGGAAAAACATTCTAAATAATGAAAAGTTTGGTAACAAGAAATCAACACCAAGTCTCCTAATCAAATCACTGAACATCAGTGAAAAATCTTAAAAATAGCCAGAGAAAAAAGATGTCCAATACAAAGGGACTAAGGCTAACTGGAGACAAGTCGGCAGTTACAATGTGAGTCAGAAACAAGGAAGTGAGATGAAGCTGAAAGGAAAAGAATCATCTCATAATTCTCTGCCCCCCAAAAAGAATATGTCTTAGGAGAATATTCCCAAAATAAAGATGTTTTCTAACACACATAAGCTAAATAGAGGTGGGGTGCAGCTCAGGGGTACACCCTTGGCCTGTATTGATCAGGCCCTGGGTTTGATCTCTAGCACCAAAGAAAAAGGAGAAAAAGAAAAAGAAAAAAAACCCCGAATAATCTACTGTGGACCTGAACAACAGGAAATGCTAAGGCAGTCCGAAGACAAAAGGGAGAGGGCACTGGCGAGAAATCTGGATCTGCAAGGGACTGGGCTAAGGTACAGCTGTTTCCTGTATCTCTAAAGCAACCACTAAAGGGTCAAGGGAGGAGGAAATCCAGAATCAGGCCCTAAAAGAGGCAGAGGGAGGGAGAAAAGTGAAACACGGAGCATGTGGGACAAGTGAAGAATAAATAGCCAGAAGAAGGGCAAAATCACATAAAATGCAAGTGGTTTCCTAAGAAAAGGCAGAGATAGCCAGAATACACAAATTCCACTTAGAGACAAAGAGGAAAAGGATGGAAAGGATAACCCTAATGCCACTGTGAAAGAAAGGTGCCCGAGCAAGTAATTCTGGCCGAGATGAGGGTCACCTTCTGATCCAGGGGTCGCCTATAAAGGCGGACCTATGATTGCGAAGACTGCAGGGCTACGGGGGCCTGAGACAGAGGAGGCGACTCCTGGGGAGCTGTGAGGAGAAGCGCACACCTCTGAGGGCAGCGGGACTTCCTTGCTCCACTGCGGCAGCACCGGCGGGCAGGAACCCTCGAGGGCCGCACAAGAGAACAGCCCTCGCCCCACTTCTGCGCCCTTCAGGGCCGCACCACGTCTCGGACGCACGCACGAGGGCCCTGCCCGCGGTGACCCTCGCGGCGGGCCTGAACCTGCGTCTCAGGGAGGCTAAGGGCACTTGAAGGACACACAGGTGCCACACGAGAACTGCCTCACGTCCGATGCGGAAATGCACGGGCCATCTCGAGCATCGGACAACTAAACAAAGCCCTCGCAGAAGCCCGCGGGCGGCACGGCGGGACGCGCGGCCCGCTGAGCCCCGAGCCCGCGTCCTGGGGGCCTCGCGCCCACCGCTTCCCCTCAGGCCGGCTCGGGCGGACGCGGAGCGGTGGGCACCAAGGACGTGAAGAGCTTTAACCCCACTCCTCATCTCGCCACAGAAACCACCCAGTGCCCGCCCAGCGCGCCTGCCCGGCCCACACGGCCACGCCCCGCTGTCACTCAGCGCGCCGGACCTGCCCCACCCGACAGCACCCGGGCCCAGGCCTCTGCTGAGGCTCTTCACCCTTGCAGGATGGGATCGCGGCCACGCCCTCCTGTCAGACACGCCCACTTATCACTCCTCCAGTGGCGGCCACGCCCACATGCAGAATACCCCGCCTGGTTTCAGGGAGGCCACCCCCCTCCCCCCAAAGTTTTGAGTCTGCAGTTTTGTAAGAAACTGCTATATACAAACATGGTAATCTGAAGTCCAGAATGTTCAATAAAGTTATCATAATTTCAAAAATTCTTCTTTGACCACCAGGTTTTATTAACTTCATTTTTTAAAAGGGCCTTTGCCAGCATGAGGCCTCTGCGTGCCTGTCATCCCAGCACTCTGGGAGACTGAGGGAGGAGAATTGGAAGGTCAAGCTCACCCCGGGAAATTTAGAGACTGCGAGACCCTGCCCCAAAAGAGAAAACAGAAAGGGCTCTTGACGGAGCCCAGAGTGGAGGAGCTGGATTCAATTCCCAGCTCTGCAGTAAAAGAACATAGAACCCTTGGCCACCTGAGCCGCCCTAAACAAAGCTGGCTGACATGAACTCTTCACACAAACCAGACCCACCCTGTTGGTACTGGAGTTTGAGATCAGCCTCTGATGAGCTATGCTGAGTTGTGTGATGGTCCTCACTCTTGGATCCTCCCCAAGAAAATCTGCAAGGAAAGTAGAGTCAGAAGTAGATGATTTAGCAAGCACTTCTCAGATAATAAGCAAAGTAGCTCTACTGGAAGGGGTAGCAGGCTAGGGAAAGGTCAGAGGGGCAGGGGCACAGGTGGCGACTGCCAAGTGTTAATGCAGGTGTGCTTTACCAGAATTAGAGTGGTCTGGGACTGGGACTGGCGTGGCCTCTTCTAATCAACTGTGAGACTCCCCCCTGGTGGCAGGTGGTGAAGCTTTGAAGTTGTGTGGTCCTACTCCCAAGGAGCCTGCTGACTGAAGACCACGTGGGTGGGGCTTAAAGCTGCAGTACAAACGTATGTAAATGAGGGTAACCACGTCAGGCAGGGGGAACATCGGTCAGACGGCGTTTGGGCACACCAAGGCATGATGTACATGTCCCAGAGCCGTGACAATGGGCAGGTTGGGAACTTGGAAGGGCGTGGTTGCTCTTCTCTGTATTTGAATCCAAAGTTCAGGAACTTAGGTCACTGTCTTTTGGCAGAGTTTCCCTGGGCTCAGGTGCCAGTCTCCCAGTTAGGCTCATACCTAGCCAACTGCTGACCCTTGTGGTCAGCACCTGGGCACCTTGACCTCCAGGCCTGAGCAGGAGAGGCTCCACGTCAGGGGTCCTGGTGGTCCTGGCTCTGGCTGTGGTCCTTGCAGTCACAGCTTCGTTTCCAGGTCTGGGTCCTTGTCCCTGCCTTCTCAGTCATGCTCTCTGCTCTGGGACCTGGCTCAGCCCTGCCTGCTGTTGGAGTCTTGATTTGTGCTTCAGTCCCTGGCTGGCTCCCAAAGCCTGGCCTAGTCTGCCTGGGCCTGTCTCTCCCTGCCTCTCCCACTGGCTGCTGCAGTCTCGGCTCCCCTCCCAGTCTCTCTTGGCCCCAGTTTCTGCTAAGGTCCCCATCTTACCTCCTGTCCCTTGACCGCTGGCCCTCTCTTCCCCTGAGAGCACCAAGTAGATGCTCACACTGGCCCAGAAACTGGGCTTGAGAAGCCCCTCCCGTTGCCCTGCCAGGTGAAAGAGGACGGTGGCCTGGCCAGACTTGGACTGTGACTCTGTCACCTTCTGTGGCAGCAGCCGCCTGAGCATTTCTAGGGTCGGACCTAGAGGACTTTCCTGAGAAGGAGATACCAGGACTGAGGAAAGCTCTCTTCTTGTGGCAGGATTAAAATTCCACACATGATTTTCCCGAGCATGGCAGCCATACTCTCCAGACAGTTTTGGTCCTGACTCACTGTCCAGTATTGAGGCTCTCCACAGCAGCAGGACTCAGGTCTGGGGATCCTTATGCTTCTGGCCATTCTGCTGTGACATCAGTGCAGCCTTCTCACCTGCAGCTTGAGGAACAACCACTGATTGCTGTGATTCCTGGACTGACACAGTCACCTGGCCCATGTCCCAGAGGAAGGCTTGCTCATGGGCAGGGCTCCCTATGTGTCCTGTGCTCTGCATGCCAGGGCCTCCTCTTCTGGAGCCTTCTCATTTGAGAACTGACTGAACTGCTGAAGGATGGGAACGAACCCTGCGCTTACTCTTCATTTTGGAAATCTGCTGTGGAGCCAGAGTTAGGCCAACAGACTCTGGCTGAAATGAATTCCCTTCACATTCTGAGGATGTGGTCCAGCAACAAAGTCGTTTTTGAAGTGCGTGAAAGGACAGGTGAAATTGCCGCAATGGTGGCTTCTGACATGGCTGGGGCAGTGATTCTGCTGGTGGCCATTGGCTTGAAGGGGGACAGCGTTTTTCACACCGAGGCTCTGGAGGGGTGGGTTAGGGTGCCGGACACCCAGCTGTGTGTTCCCACAGCTCTGCAGAGTAGAGCTAGTTCCCGCAGGACATCTCCTCAGATTGTAGTGCGGCTGGATGCTGGGATAGACTGAAGCTTCCACGTCTTCTTGGTGAAGTCAAGCCACTCCTCTGTCTGTCTAACTCTCCAGCACCTGAAGGATATTTTTGACAGATGACAAACCCAAGCATTATGTTTAGATGGCAACTCAAGACCTGAAACACAAAATACTTGTGCAAATTTTAGAAGCTTTTATTTATCCCAGGTAAATATTTTAAGGGCATTCATGAGAAATGGCTAATAGATGGAAGGAGAGCTTCTGAGGCAGAATAAAAGTGAAGTTTCAGAAGATGGGTAATGGACAGCTTTCTCACTGCTGAGACAAAATGCTTGATAGTCATAAATAAAGAAGGAGTTTTTTGGGGGTCACAGTTTTAGGGATTTCAGTCCATGGTTAGGCAGCTCCTGTGGTAGAGCAGAGCAGCTCCCTTCAAGGGAGCAGAGCAGGAGTGAAGCACCAGTGAGAAAAATGCCCTCCAAAGGCCACCCCCAGGGACCCAGCTAATCCAGCTGGGGGCATCTCCCAAAAGTACACCGAGCTACGAACATCAGTGGATGAATCCACAGTGAGTGTACTGACCCATGATCCAACCATGTCTCCCCAGAGCCTCCCTCTCCCTCTCCCTCCCCCTCCCCTGAGACAGAGTCCTGCTACGTGGCTCAGGCTGGCCTCGAACTTGCAGCAATCCTCTTGCTTTAGCCTTCAGAGGCTTGTGATTACAGGTATAAACCACCGTCCCCAGCCCAAAGTATCTTAGTCCAGTCAAGCCCATAACTTAAAATGAACTGGAACGAGCTGATTGTGTTAGAGGAGGTGGTTCTAGTCTTTGACCTCACCAGCAGCCTCAGGGGAGAGTGATGAGCCTCATAGTCACAAAGGACAAGGGTCCGATTCTCAAGAAAATCATCTCACCTTCAGAATTTATGTTCCAGGTTTTTAAAATGTTCTGTGTAAAGCTAACCGGCCATGAGTAGGAGGTGGAAGTGAGAGGCCATGTGTGATCTTGTGTCACTCTAAACCTGTGGAGTCACAATGATACATGTACTAATGGAGTAGAATGCTTCTTTTACATATTGTGGTTTCCCTCTTTCAATAGTGGAGGTGGAATCCAGGGTCTCATGGTGCTAGGCAAGTGCCCCACCACTGAGCTACATCCCCAACCCTGTACTGGGATACTTTAAACAAAATCTCAACAAGGCTTTTCTTATTTGCCCCTTGCCACATGTGAGGAGGTTTCGGTCATTTTTGTCTATAACTTATGAGTGCAACACATAAGTTGAGCTAAATACATTAAGAGCAAATGTGTGGCTAGACCCCAGTTCAATTTAATTTATATTCTCTGAGGGAGCACAGCCATTTGGTAAGTTCATCAGTCTCTGGTGTCAGAACTACAATTATTGAGGAAATGAAAGTGCTTGCAATAGCCACACACTTTAGGCTTAGAACAAAATTCCATAGCTCTTATCAAGTACTCCCTGATACTCGTGTTTATAAAGAAAGGATATTGTAATGGGTCAGAGGGCTTTCCTGTGGCTGGGAAACAATACCCACCACTCACAACTTAAAGAAGAAAGGTTTCATATGGCTTATGGTTTCAGTGAATTCAGTCCCTGGTCTTCTGGCTCCAAGTCAGCAATGTCATGGCAGAAGGTCATGATTAATCAAAGCTACTCAGTTCATGATGGCTGGGAAGCAGAACAGGGAAGAAGCCCAAAGACACATAGGCTAGAGCCAGATATAGGCCCTCAATGTCACACCTTTGAGATTGACCCAGACATCCCCAGAAGTGAGCTCCACAAATTCTCTAGGCAGACTCCAAAGCCAATGAAGTTGACACTGACCCTAAGTGCCTCATGTGCTTATAAGAAGCATCAAGGCATTCATAAGGTCATTGCAAAGAGTACAACAGAGGGCAGAGTCATAAGAGAAGATGTAGAGCAGAGTGTATTTAAAGATGATTATAGATTAACATCGAGTATTCCAAATGTTTTAAGTGTGGTAACTTAGATCGGAAAGGCTCATCTTGCAATGGAGACTCTTCAACATCTATACTCAGAATATATCATGGGCACAAAAAGATTAAC